CCTATACTGATTTGGGTTGGACTAATTGATTTATTCCCTTTTTTCATAACTGTAAGTTGAGTGGTAGTGTAGGGAATCATACCTTTGCGTTAGTTTGAATACTCCCAAAGCTTCTGGCATTGAGCGAGTGCTCAGTGGTATTTGTTTGATTGGTAATTGCATTATTAGTGACACTAGGTGCACAAAAGTAAAAGTAGAGAGATCACAGCCCTCAGTTTGAAAACTGCTCAAACATCTAAGTTAATTAAACTGCAGAGAAGCCCACATTGCTATTGTTAGTAGAAAAATCATTAATAAGCATTTAATAGAAAGCACTAGTCTAGAATATTGGAAGAAGAGTGGCTCTTTATAATCCTGTTGTTGAGAGATACTATCATCTGGTAACCTAGAAACACCAGTTTTTTAAACTATTTTTAGCTATTTAACCAGACAGGACTATAAGATAATATTTCTAGCTAATGTTTCCCTTTATAATAACTGGTAAACAGAAGTAAAGTGTTTTCCTGAGTTGTGTGAGCCATACTAGTGAATTATGGAACATGAGGAGAGGGACATGGGAATACCTGATTTATAGCCTGTTGGTCAGAAGTAAGAGCAGCCTGGGACTTTCAACTGGCATCTGAAGTGGGGCAACCTTGTGGGACTGAGCCCTTTAACTTGTGGGATCTAAGCTAACTCCAGGTAGGTAGTGTCAGAATTGAATTGTTGGACAACGAGATGGCGTCAGAGAATTGATGAATTGGTTGTTGTTAGAAGAAGACACCCCTCAGTTGCATTCATTGAAGGTGATATAAGATGTCAGCAAAACATAGACCAAAGAACCCAGGTCTGCAATTAAAACTAGATTGAAACAGAATATGAGATTATGAAATTCGCAGGCTTGGAATTTCTAATTTCTGGTACAAAAAGCAGTTGGTTTGGGAAGGTCTTCAGCTCTGTTTGTGAAAACATGTATCTTGTAGAGTGTTCAAATGATTATTTCCCTCAGTTTCTCTGGTTCAAGAAGAAGTAGGAGTTACAATATCTAGAATTTTTAAACTTATGCAAGTTCTAAAGTTGCGTAAGTTCTGATCTTTTGTTCTTCAGAGGATCAGTATTTGAATTCCAGTTGGATGCCAGCATCCAGTGATCTTGAGTCTATGGCAGGTTTTTTTTTTAAGGTGGTAATGCTTTGTTATGTAGTATAACAGCTTTGTTAAGCTTTAGTTTATACACCTTAGTGTACCCACTTAAAGTGGACACTTAGTGGTTTTTAGTATAGTCAGAGTTGGGCAACCATCATCACAATCAGTTTTAGAACATTTTCATCACCTGAAAAAGAAGCCCCATAGCCTTTAGCCATCACCCGCCCCTCAATCCCCTGTTCCCCACCCTGCACCCCAACCCTAGGCAACTACTAATCTTACTTTCTGTCCCTGAATTTGCAAAATTTTGGACATTTCGTATAAATGGAATCATACAGTATGTAGTCTTTTGTGACTGGCTTCTTTTACTTAGCATAATGTTTTCAAAGTTTATCCATGTCGTAGCATCTATAAGTACTTTATTCCTTGTTATTGCCAATTAATATTCCATTATATTAGATATACCACATTTTGGTCATCCATACTTCAGTTGATAGACATCTGGGTTGTTTCCACTTTTTGGCTATTATGAATACAATGCTACTGTGAACATTCATGCATAAGTCTTTGTGTGGACATATATTTTCATTTCTCTTGGATATATACCTAGGAGCGGAATTCCTGGGTCATATGATAACTTTATGTTTAATCTTTTGAGGAACCACCAGACTGTTTTCCAAAGTAACTGCACCGTTTTACTTTCTGCCAGCAGTGATTGAGGATTGCAGCTCTTCCACATTTTTGCCAGTACTTGTCATTATCTGTCTGTTTGATTATTCCTATCCTATACACTATCCTAGTGGATGTGAAGTGGTATCTTGTGGTTTTTGATTTACATTTTCTTAATGGCTAATGATGTTGAACATTTTTTCATGTACATCATTGCATTTGTATATCTTCTTTGGAGAAATGTCTATTCAGATCCTTTACCATTTTTTAATTGAGTTATTTATATTTTTACTGTTTAATTGCAAGAGTTCTTTATATATCTTATCTAGATATAGATATATCTACATCAGATATGTGATATGCAAATTTTTTTCCCATTCTCTGGGTTATCTATGGCAGTACTTTTGACATTTAGATTTCTTTGATTTGTTTAAGGAGATTTCCAGGTTTGCAAGGCCCACAAAGTGGGAGTGTGATCAGCTAATTCGAGGAGGCATGGTTCATCTGGTGAACAAAAAGAAACAAATCTCCTTAGTATGTCTATCATCAAACTTCTTTTGTCTAATTTTCAGCTTTCTCTTTATGGTATAAAATTATGACTACACACAGGAATGAACAGAGCTCAAGGTATAATACTTGGCCATCTCATGTGGTAATACTCACACAGTACAAGGTATGAGTTCCTTGTTGGCTGACTACTGTGTTCTTTAGTGCTTGTGGTATTGCCTCCAAAACTAATGAAACAAACTCTAACATAGAAGTCAAAAAATCTGTTAGTTAGCTCCACTCCTTAGCCCTATGACTTCACCAAATAACTTACCCTCTCTGGAAATAGATTTTTCTCATCCATAAAATGAGTGAATTGAAAGGAAAATTGAGCAAGTTAAGTAGGATATTCTTTAAGGTTCTTTCCAGCTTTAAAATAAGATTATATGCTACAGTAATACCAGCAACTTTTTTCTTCTTCCTTCCCCAACAAAGAAGAATTATGCCTTGTTGAAAAATCATAGGCTCCAATGTACCTTTTCCTCAAAAGGATTGGAGTTACATGGATTTGGCAAGTAAAAAATTGGGCATATGTAAATATTCAGTAAAGACTTATTATCAAATAGCCAAAGCCATCCCTGTGAATTTCCTTATGGATTAGAGGAACATGACCTAAGCGTCACCAGTGACGTGGAACTAAAGAACGGAAATAATTTACACACCTGCTGTGGGTGTGGCTAGAGACTGAGGAATGAGTCCTTGATTGCATCCTTGGAAGTATTCAGAGATCATTATAGAAGAAGCTCTCAGAGATCAGTTGTGTCCAAAGGTGAAATCAAAACCTAGACTACGACTAATAAGAAGAAAAATAGGGCGATAAGAAAAGAAACATCTGAAAAGGCCTAGAAATTGTGAGGTAAGTATACTTTGTTTTGTTTAGTTTTTTTCTGGAATGATAGTTAAAAATTTTCAAGATAATGAAACTTTATCATTGGTCCCTGAACTCAACTGAGATCATTGCCTATATAAGTTCAGACACAGTAGATGAAGACAAGGAAGTTTAAGACACCTCTAAGCCCAGCCAGATATGGAAGAAGAGTTAATTAGGGGAAAGGTCATTGAGATTCAGGTCCATTTGCCAAAGTTTGGTTACTTTGATTCCCACCAGCCAAGAAAACTTCTTAAAATTTTGTTTTTCTCTTTGACTGGTCTCCGTGGTGTTATTAATTAGACATTATTGTAAATAAAGCACATGTACAAAGCAAAAAGAAAGTTAAAAAAACAAGTATTCAGAATTCAGACTGGGAAAGAAAAGCTTAGAAGTTTAATTCTAGCTCTTCTCTCCCTTATGAATATGGGTCTTTGTCACATTATAAAAATAGCTGGTAAATCTCAGAAAATATGAAGATTTTTGTCTTTAATGTCTTCTTAGAGCTCTTTAAGAAAAATATATTCCCTTAGGAGGTTATTGTTACAAACACAGAGCGTGAAATACACAGAACTTGAGATTACTTGGTGTAAACAGAGCTTGAAATTCTTATACTCTTAATGCTCTATTTTAAATCATTAAGGTAATTCATGGTGATAGCATATGAGCCATTGATATCTTGCATAGCACTTGAGCAAAAAAATACACTTCCAGAATTAAGAGAGTCAGTATGTTGATCTAAAGAATAGCAAGTCCTCAGGTTTTGTTGTGGAGTCAAGTTTAAAGCATAGTCAGTCACAGCTACGTTCTGTTCAACATGAGTGTTGGCCCTGTCATGTCCGGCTTCTTGAGCAATTTCATCAGCCTAGAATCACATGACAAGGCAGGATCACTAAAGAGCCAAATCTTAGAGTATGCCCAGATCATTTTTACAGATATGTTTCCTGGACTGTACGTGTATATACACTGGACAAAAGCAAGGTACCTGAGCCCATTTACTTCACAGTAAACTAAGTGGGCCTGCTGCCAGCAGAATGAGCAAAAGGCACGTTATGCAGATTTACAGAAGAACCTCTTCTCGGGATGTGACACAGCTATGGAATGGTGGGAAGCAACAGAAGTAAACTTGCAGCTGTCTGATAGAGGGGGGTTCATTTTGTGCCAGTGCATTAGGTGACAGGGTATCATTAGACTTAGGGCCACTAAAAGTATTTTTATGTAAGAGGATATCGGCCCCCAGATTCAAGTTGAACAACAATTTAATGGGTGAAGAGTATGAATGGTTTGTATATGTAGCTTATTGAAAAGGTGTGACCGAGCATTTACTCTTGTAACTTAATTTAGCATGCTTAAAAAAAATCTTAAATGTAATTAAGCACAAAGCAAGTTCACCTTTGGCTGTGTAGAGGCGTAGACTAGTCCCATGCACAACCCTTCACCAGACGAAAACATTTCTTTTTCAAGAAGAGGTATGGGGGAATTTGAAGTAGCAGGCAGTAACCTCTCAAATGAAGCTTACAAGTAGGACAGTCTAAGAACAGCTGAAGTCAGTAAGCAGGGTGCCTTCAGTAGCTGTTTGATGAAGCTTGTACAGTCCCAACTCACCTCTGGGTCTTGTGATCATTTCCCCATTCATGAGCACCAGGTGAACCTAATTTATTTTATTTTAAAGTATAAAGCTGGAAATAAGCAAGCATGATCAATTGAAAATGTGATTGAATATTCACCTGTTCTTATTATGCCTGGGATAATGCAGTGTTTTATATAACAAGATCAAAAAACTGATTCATTTGATAGTGCTAAAAGAGCACTCTTTCTTTACATATGAATTGTATTGATTCTGCTTTTTTAAATGGAGTGTTTCTTAACAGATTGAGAATTATACTACTCTGTTAAAATAGGCTATTGCACTATCATGAAAAGGTAGTTCAGTATCTGTTATACTTCTGACATTTATAGAGCATTTTTATAGTTAATTCAGTCAGCGTTTTAAGAAATAGAATACTCCCTTTTGAAGTACCTTATTCCATAACTTGAAATTAAGCCTGTGTTAAAAACTGTTCTGTGCTTCCCTCTTACTTCCGTTTCTTCCCTTTTGGGCCACAGACTTCTTCAGGGAGGAGGTAAGGGAGAAGTGAATTCTCACTTCAGCCAATAGAATCTAGAATTATATAGTGTTTACCTATTTTGCATAACACGGGCCCACCCACACACATTATGAGGTGCTTAAGTGAAAGAACACTGAGCAGCTATTCAGTGTGTGATTCCAAGTGTAATTAGAAGATGCTTTAATACTATCTGGATTTTATCCTCTGGTGAGAAGATTGTTTATCTAGCTTGTATGATAGCGATGGAATAAAGAGGTAGGTGTTCTGTGGCTTGATTTTAAGTGTCACATTGTCAGTGCTTCAGGTTAAAGGTAGGGTTCTAAAAGGGATGATTTCAATTAAAATTAATCAGATTGTTTATATTTAATTTTTTCACATTGAGCTTTAGAAGTGTGTTATGTATGAATTACATTTCCTTCCATCTTAGGGAAAGAGTTGAATAAATCTCAAGCTCCAAGGCTTTTATGTTTTTAGGGAGGCTTTACACTGGTAATCTCACCTCCCATTAGGCCTAAAGCATAAGAAAAATAACTGCTGGTGTTTATTGCCTCTTGACTATTGGTCAACAGAAAACTGAAAACTCTTTATTTGTAGTATTTTTCCAGTCCAAGCTACAATATTTAGTTTTTTACATGCTTTAGAACTTAATGTTGTCCTTTGTTTTCTTTTGAATGATGAAATTTGAGAATTATATTGCTCTCTGAAGGAAATCGTTTGGTAGCCAGAATGATGATGCTGTCATTGTACTTTGGTTAGCTGTTGACAGTGTATTCTGAATCTAGTTTTTTGACCATAAATTATCTCCTGAGGTGCTCTCAAAGAGATCTAGGCCTTTGAGATAACTACAGTTTACTGTTTAAACATTTTCACAAGGTAGGGAAATATTATAAAGAATTTTTTTTTAATATTGAGAGTCTTGCTTTATAAGGATTTTAAGTAATGTTCTTCCTCAGTTATGATGGGAAAGGATTAATAATTGTAGATCTGATAATTGATGGGGGGAGATTTTTCTGCTAAAAATCAACAGTCAAGTTCCCAGCAGTGTGCTTTTCTGAAGCATTTTTTCATTGAAAGAAAAGTCATAATTAAGATTTTTTTCTTTTTATAGGAAATTCATGAAAAACTGAATCTGTTTGCTAGGATACTGCCCACTAATGTGTGTTCATTTTTTATCACATTTTCTAATCTATTTGTGAGGAGGAAGTATTCAGTCTCTCGTGTATATATAACATGGAAGTTAAGTCAGTGACAAGAGAAAAGTTGCAGATTAGGAGGAAAAATTTATAATAATACTTAATTGGGGTATTTGTAATGTGATAATATGCCAATAATCAGAGTGGAGAGAGGAAATTTGTACAAACAACCCAGCTATATGTATGTATCGTTTTCCTAATGAGAAGAGTTAAATAGAAATAACATACTGAGTGATTTAAAATATTCACTCTGCTAAAAAATAGATGTTCTTAACTTCCCACACATAATGTCTCTAAATTACTGCTACAAAAATTTATGAGGAAAACATTATGATTTGGTCAAAGAAAGATTAGCTGCTACTTTTGAGAACTTTCCATGAACCAAAGAGAAAACTAAAACTCATAAGATGAAACATTTGTTCATTAGTGAGATTAGTAATAGTTGTCATCTTTTAATAAGGTTTTTCTCTTTATGTAGGTAACTTTACTGTTACGAACAGTATTGGAGATTCATTTGTAATTTGAATTTTCAACTACATTTTTCTTTTCTCATTCCTTTTTAATAGAGCTCATAATGGAATTGTGAAACTATAAAAGAATTAAAGTTAACTTCTGAGTAAGAGCAGGGAATACATACATGAAATCTTATTTGATTTAGATGTATTGTTTATTTCCCCTATTGAGAATCAAACATATATAGCATTCAACCTTGAAATTAATTGCAGTGATTTTTGAGGCCTTTGATTATATTTCAGGTCCTGTTATATTACAAGCAGTGGAAAACTAGAACTTTCTACATGGTACCAAAGTTATCTGCAAAGAACAGATTATAAACATTTGTTTACTGAGAAATGAAGATGAATCTCTGAGAAAACAGTTAAGCCTTAAGTGATGGGGCAGCATCACCATAAATTAACCAAGTATTATTAAGACCTACTTTGTATGTCTAAGTACATATCACGTATTTAAGAAATACTTGATTTTTTTTTAACATTAGGTTAGATCCCTAAAAATCACTGGTTTAACTCTCACAGTTTGAATAATTTCAAGAGACTCAAAGTCTATGACTTGTATATCTAGTGAGTGAACCAAGTAGATGGCCCAACATCCAAATCTCAGTGCAGCTTTGTTGTTCTCATTCAGTCCTGGTGACACATCCTAAGAGGTGTGGAAAATATTGTCACTGTTTTATAGCATGAGAAAATCATGTCCTACAGAACAGGTTTTGTAGATCGAGAATTCGTGAAGGACCCGGGTATAGCCCTCATGACTGTCAAGGGCCAGAGTACTCAGGGTTGGCCCTAGGCACAGTCGTAGCTTCATCCTTTACAAGTGTTTCTTCTAGTTTGAAGAAAACATTATCATAATGAAATAATTAGTGAATAATTCAAGAAAGTATTTGACTTTCTCACTTTTCAGGATTCTTTTTTAAGGAAATGTATCAAAATTACCCAGGGCTACTTCTTCCTAACTCTTCTTCCTCTCAGCTCTCTTTTCTGTTCCCTTTCGTAAAGTCTTTAAGACCAGAATTCATGTGTGTAGGTAAACAGAACTCAAATAAATTCAAATACTGTTAAAGATTTCAGTGTACAGGGTTAATTCAAAAGCTGTGATATAATTGTATATACAGAGTATTTTCCAATAAAACCACCTAGACCTTCGATAGTAAAATTGCCCTCATACATCATAACTTTTTTTTGCCTTCTTTTAAAGAAAGACTCATGAGGAATGGTTCTGCCAAATTCTGGTCAGTGTGTAGATGGATCACTTTGGTTTAGGTATCGCTTAGTCCAATGAGTGGCCACACTTGTGTAGTAACAACTTTGCTAACCAAGGGAGCTGTGGGTGGGCAGTTTCGCGTCAGAGAAAGAGCATGAGACCTGGCAGGCACTGTGATTCAACAGGACCAGCACATCTTGGAAATCCTGCACCTATAGGTTGTGAGAAGGCTGAGAGAAGGCAAACTTTGAATCTTGAGTTCATTTTTTTTTTTTTCTTAAAGATTTTATTTTTTCCTTTTTCTCCTCAAAGCCCCCGGTACACAGTTGTATGTTCGTTGTGGGTCCTTCTAGTTGTGGCATGTGGGACGCTGCCTCAGCGTGGTTTGATGAGCAGTGCCATGTCCGCGCCCAGGATTCAAACCAACGAAACACTGGGCCGCCTGCAGCGGAGCGCGCGAACTTAACCACTCGGCCATGGGGCCAGCCCCTTGAGTTCATTTTTTAATACCTTTTATTAAATTTAAAGAGCTGTTTTGTTTGTTTTCTATTTTTATTCTTTTTTTCACTTTTTATTTTGAAATAATTTTAGCCTTACAGAAAAATTGGAAAAATAATGCAACGAGTTTGCATAAACCCTTTACTCAGCCTCCTATACTGTTAACAGTTTATATAACCAGTGTATATTTGTCAAAACCAGGAAATTAAGGGCTGACCTGGTGGCATGGCAGTTAAGTTCGTACATTCTACTTTGGTGGCCTGGGGTTCAGCAGTTCAGATCCCAGGTGCGGACCTACTCCCTGCTTGTCAAGCCATGCTGTGGCAGGTGTCCCACATGTGAAGTAGAGGAAGATGGGCACGGATGTTAGCGCAGGGCCAGTCTTCCTCAGCAAAAAGAGGAGGATTGGCCGCAGATGTTACCTCAGGGCTAATCTTCCTCAAGAAAAAAAAAAAAAAACAGGAAATTAACATTAGTACAATACTACAGTATTAATTAAACTAGACCATACTCAAATTTAACCAGTTTTTCATGAATGACCTTTTTCTGTTCCAGGATCCAATTCATGATTCTATATGCCAGGTAGTTGTTACATCTCCTTAACCTCCACCAATCTGGGAGTTTCTTGGCTTTTCCCTGTCTTTCACAACCCTCGACACTTTTAATGAGTACTGATAGTTATTTTGTATAATGTCTGTCACTTTGGGTTGGTCTGATGTTTTCTCATGATTAGATTGAGGTTAAACATTTTTTGGCAACATACTACAGAAATGATGTGTCCTCAGTGTATCATAATCAGGGATACATGATATCAAATTGTCTTATTAAAGATCATGTTAGCCTCAGTCACTTGGTTAAGATCTGCCAGGTTTCTCCCACTGTGAAGTCACTATTTTCCTGTATATGATTAATAAATATCTTGGGGGAGATACTTTGAGACTGTTGTTCTTGCCTTTTTTTAAGTGCATGTAACTTGGTCAGTGTTTTAATAAAAATAAAGACGAGAAAACTCAGATTATTCTATTTCCAGGAGTAATTTAACTGTTCAGAATAATCATTATACAATACTTTTTTTGGAAGGGCCCATACACTGCGTATGGTTTACTTGCAGAACATAAAAAGGTGACCATGGACTTAGTCTTCCATTTTTTAATTTCTTAGATTGGTACTATAGATTTTAAGTAGTTGGGAAAAAATCTATTTTATTTGTTTTTTCCAAGTATAAATTTTATCCAAGGGACTTCTAAACTCAGCTTTAAACAATTGACTGAATTACTGAGAAAATTTAAATGGATAGTCAGTATTATAGAAGTTTATTCCCATGTTAGGGCAGTAGCATTTATGTAAACTCTCACTTTTTAATACTTTATTAAAGGAAAAGAGTTGGGGGATTTTCTTGTTTGTTGTTTAATTTAGTTTCCCATTGTAGTTCTCTCCACCCCACCCTCCGTGTACTTTTTTTTAAACTCAGCAGTTCCAGAGTACTGGCTACAGTTTGAGTTGTAAGGTTAATTTTCTTACCTATAAAATGAGGGTTATAATAGTTCCTACATCATGAGGGTGTTCTGGGGATCAAATCAGTTAATACATGTAAAGTGCTTAGAACAGTGCTTGGCACAGAGACAGAACCTAGTAAATGTCAGCCACTATGGAAAAAGCATAGCCTAAGCATGAGCTGACTGCCATTGTTGGATGCTGACTTTAGAAAATGATAGAATTTCCCATGAATATACTTCTATCCGATGTTTTTGTTCCAAAGAGCTATGTAATCCCACTGAATTTGCTGCTTCCTGCAGAATTTTGTTCGGGACTTCAGTGGTTAAACCTAGGGAATTTCTAGTCTTG